AGAAGGGTAGGTTTGGAGCTGAGAGACAAGAGCTGCATAACTGGCACATTCATACGACTACACCACACAGCAGTGAAAATGCATGAAATAGAGTAACGCTTATTTACACGGATGAAGCTCACAATTTCTTACATAGAAAAAGAAATATGCAGAATGATATGTATAATTTGACACTGTATACACACAGCTCAAAAAGATGCAAAATAGTACTAAGAAGGAATATGTATATATATAATAAACTACCAAGAAGTCATGGGAATGACCTAGAAGAGTCTTAGGATAGTGACTTCCTCTAAGGGAAGAAAACAGGGAAAGGAGGAGAATGTGATCCAAGGGGAACCCAAGAGATATGGCTGCATTCAAACCACTTTATTGCAGAAACCGGGCAGTGGGTACCCAGGCACTTGGCATGCAATCCTTTATACATTTCTGTGTCAGAAACATTTGCTTAACAAATTTTAAAGTAACCTGGAAGATGCATTTGTTTTTTAATAAACAGATGTTTCATAAAGAAATGCCACAGGGCCTTGACATTTCTAAGTCCCAGGCCGGCCTTCTTTAACCCCAGTGTGTCTTCCCTCCTCTCTTTCCCTCCACATGACAAAAGCCATGCATTGCCTTCTACATAGCTACTGCCACCCACCCTGTATTTTGAAGTTATTAAACCCAAGACTGGCAGAAGAGTAGCACCATGCCTTCAAAGTTCCCCCTGAAGAAAGCACACAGGGCCTTTGCATTTAGAGGTTTTGTGCATCTCGCTATGGGGAATTAGACAAGAGTAACAAAAATGAGGAAGTGCCTTTGTCCAAGTGATGATAATCCAATTCAAAATACTGAGCAGAAATGATACTCCTTGGCTCACGTAACTGGAAATTCTAGTGGGAATACTGGTTTCACTTGGCTGGATCCAGGGGCTTAAATGATGTCTTCAGAGTTCTCCAGCTCAGCTCTCCTTTGTCCTCTTTCTTGGAAATGCTCTTTTCAATTTGTAGTGAAGACGGCTCCTGGGGGGCTCCAGACTTACATGGTCCTTGTGCCTCTGATCACAGAAGATGCTTCCTTTCCAATTGTTTCTATCAAAAGTCCTAGGGCTGATTCTCACCTGGTTGGCTTCAACATGTGCTCAGGCCTGCATACACCTCTAGCTCTGCGGGGCTAGTCTGTGATTGGCCAGGCCTGGGTATAACCCCATATCCTGGAGCTAAAAGGGATGCTCGCCAACCCAAACAGCATGAGTTCCCATTAATATAGAGAGGAGACCAGAGGACTGGCAGAGAAACAATAGACATTCACTACAGGAAGCTACAAAAGTTTCTGAATATAATCCTGATTCCCTCGACCATTTTGATCTCTTTCTGGGAGAATGAAGGCCTAAAATTGCAATGAAGGCAGACAACTTACATTTCTGAAGGTCACCAAGCTCCCTGACATTTGTTCCACTTCTGCTTTTTCATTCCTTCTTAGACCTTTTATTCTTCTACTTAACATCTTATACTATCACTTTATTATCTTTTCCAATACGTTTGGATTCCTTTCAAATCAATGAAATATTTAACTGATGGATAGGTTCCTGGCCATGAAGCATGACTTAGGGCTTGACAGTAAGGCACACACCTGCCCTCCAGCTGTGTGATTCCTACTTCCATTTTCATGAGATCAAGAGTATATTTCTATTAGATGTCTCCCAGCAGGAGTAAATTATAAGCAATTGCTTTTATGTCATCTCCCAACGACGGTATTCTTGCTAATTCACTAATGTCCTACACATCGCTGAGATACTTAAACTTGAACTCATATATGGTCATATTGAAAGCGTGATCTGGTCAATGAAAGATTTTCATTTCATTCAGTAGAAACTATAGAAGCATGATGTCCCAAATGCAGACCAGGAACCCATTCTGGGTACCACTCTCTCTGCTCTTAGTAATCTTTTCAGTTCATTCAGCACCTTGCTCCAGGCACTGTGCTATGCATTAGAAACACATTGAAAATGAATGAGCATGATTTCTGTCCTTGAGAAGCTCACTTTAGTGGTAAATATATCAAATGTGATGATTTTTATAACTTGAAGTGTACAATGTTCCACAGGAGCCCAGAGGTAGCTATTTTCCATTTGTCTGCAGGTAGGACTATGTCTTGGATAAGTACCAGGTTACTGAGTCAGTTGGATTGGGGCCAAATGACAAGTTAATTGTCAAGAAGCAGATAACAAGTTAATAAGTAGTTAACAAGTAGTTCTCTACTTATTAGTTGTATCAAGATTGGGGGACTTATCCAGCTCTTGGACTTCAGTGTCCTCATCTGAAAAATGAGGTCACTAGTACTTACCAATGCCATGAGGGTTGTAAGAGTTTATAATGGATGTAAAGTCTTGTAGATATAAAATATTTTAGGCCTCACGTTCTTTTCTTTAAAATCTATCATTTCCTATATTTTTATTAAGTCTCATATTTGTTTAGTTCTTGCTCTTCGGATTCAGTCCAACAAATAGAACCTTATCTGTAACCTAGAAGTGGCTGTAGAAGGCCTCCTGATAATAGGAAAGAGAAGGGCAGGCCAAATGTAGGAGAACAGGTGGTGAGACCAAACGACAAAGCCACCTGCAAGACAGTTTATGTGAGGTAGGACGCCAAAAACAGGGAAGTAAATTCTTGTCCCGTAATCAGTAGCCATGTGAGTATCCTCATAAAATTATCTACGAAAATCTCCATGTCAGCCTTCTGGAACTCAAATATTTCATATGTCTGCTTTTAATTTATAAAGACTTTTTGGGTCATTAGTCATCATGGCTAAATGTATACAAATTTGCACTTCTAATTCTAGAAGATATACAAACTACCATTTTTCTTTATCATAAAAAAAGAGTATTGCCTCCTTGTTTGCCTCTTTTCTCTATGCTCATTGTAAAAGTTTAAAAAAATCAATGACTCAGAGACTTTATCTTCAAATAATATGAATTAGAGACTTATAATTGGCAATGGCCTAAAATGTTTTCACTATTTACTAATTGTTTATATTAATTAAATATAAATAATTATACTATACTTATAAATAAGTATAAATTATAAATTAATTATCTATATTTACAAATATTTTAATCAAAGATTAAAATTATAATGTAAAATGACCTTAGCATAAGAAGTACTTAATCGCCAGCTAATGGACTCAAATTCAAGAGTTCAACAGGAATAGATGAAGAATACAGTATGAAAAAAATTAACTTTTGACATAAAAAAGGAAAAGTACGTAAACAGAGCAGGGGAGCAAGGGCTCCTGGCTCTTATAACTGGCCAAAGCCAGTTATAAGAAGGGTGTCCAATCCATATTTACATAAGTAAGATGTCACAAGATTCTTGAAGACATGTAAATTGAAATCACTCAATTCACCTCTATTATTTTTTTCCTTTGACTTGTCTTCAAGTGGCCTGGAAATTCTCTAAGAGATTGTTGAAGTATCTTCTTTTCCACTCCAAATACTTCATGTCTCAAGAAATCCTCTTCACAGTTGTCATTGTTTCTACACCCAGATGCCTTTTCAACAATGCCTTTGCAAGAAGTTTCTATGTGTGTGGATGAGTGTGTGTGTGTGTGTGTACGTGTGGGTGTATTATGACCATATTTACCTGAGCACGCATCTGCCCTCAGATTCCTTTTAGAACACTATCATCTATGGAATACCTAGGAGAGGCAGTCAGAATGGAATTAGAAATGTGAATCGAATTTAAGAAACAGGTCAGAACAGAAAGAATGCCTTGGAAATCACTTATGTAAATGAATGAGCTGCCACCACGAGAATGGATCAGAAGGCAAAGAAGGAGTACAAAGCAGAAAAAGTGGGGCCTCGATAATTGCAGAGTAGGCTGCGAGTAGATCACAGAAATTACTGCAATAAGTCATACCACAGAGGCAACGTCACAGAGTGGCCAAGAGAGCAAAGAGAATGCATACACCAGTGTCCTAGGACCCAGAGCTTGGAACACAGTGTGAAATCAATGCGTGCTATTGAATGGAGGAACAAAGAATAGAGAGTCAGCTGAGAGGACGCTGAGGCAGAGGGTATCGACTTGTGATACAGGGGAAGTCATAATAGGGTGTGTCAGAAAACAAGGCCTGGGGAAGCCGAACAGGTGAAACCAGAGCGTCGTTTACTCCCTGCAGAACGAAGGGACTCAAGAAGTATAAGGAGATTTTAAGGTGAGCCAGAAAGATGCTTATCAAAGAAACCGGATTCTGACATTAGACTCTATAGAAACCAAAGAGCTATGCCCTCAGGCGCATTTCCCTAAATCAAGACCAATAAATGTACTCTTTGTTTGGTTGGATGAAGTGAGTGTGTGCGTAAACCACTGAGGAGGTAGGGGCCAAAATGTTGTAACACAAGCAACTTCACCATTGAGTTAAGAGCCATTTCTTTTCCTTGGGGCGCGCTGCATTTTGGTTTTGGCTTCTGTTTTTATTGAGCTGAAGCACAGCTTACAGCCCTAAGTGTGAATCAGAGGAAAACTGTCCCTTGGAATCTGTGAGGAGATCCTTGTTTGAATCTTTCTCAAACCATTGGGTTTAGAGTCAGCTGTTGACTCCAGGCTGAAACTTCTGGAAGTGAAACACCATTGCCCAAGATGATGTGTCATGATACACACAGCAACACCATTGCACAACATCTAACTTCCTCAAGCAAAACCTGGCAAATCTGAAGTGTTCTATGTTTTATGAAAAGATAAAAGAACAGACGATTTTAATGATTACGTGATTTAAACTATTTACATATATGGATACTCACCACCACTTTCATATAAGCATCTTTGATATGCCAATGTTGAACACAGGGGACAAATAGCCCTTCTCAAAATCAAACACAAAACATGGCTTAACTTCCATATCCCTTCTCTTACTAGTAACCACTTGACTATAAAAGTCATCTTAATTTCCCATTGCATTTTAATAGAATATTCATTGAATCCATAAGGAGTAGATATACAGCAATACATAGAAACAAACCATAAAAGCCTCAATTGTGATTTTTTAATGTAAAAATATTAGACAAAATAACTTTGGAGGTATAAAATCTGGAAATTCAAAGTCATTTCTTTAATTTTAAGAATATTTGCATTAAATTATCAGTAACAAATACACTCTTACATTTCAAGTAGCATGAGATATATACATTTTGAAAAAAGTAGACTACCCAATGTTGAAAGTAGTGTTACCACTAACAACCATGGTTCTTGTGTTATGGGATTTGTGTCTGTTAAATTAGACCACAGCCTTCAGGTAGGACTATTTGGGGCTATGGATAGCCTGGACAGTCACCTTTGATATGAACCTGGACTAGCTGTCATTTATTCCAGAACATCTCAAAGCAACTGTCATTGTTAAGATAAACTTCAACATTGCCATCTGATTGGAAAGCAAATTTTCCCCCTAATCGTTGGCACAGAAAACTAGCTGAGTTCAAATTGTCTTTAATGTCATAAACCTCTTAATCCCATCATTACTGGTCTCTTCAAAGGCCACGGTTATATTTACAATGGCCCTGGAGCTCTTCATTCTGCTCCCTCTCACACACACAAACACACACAAGGTCACACAGCAGATAAGACTGGAGCTAGGATTTGATTCTCATTTCTTGGACCCAAGCACCCACGCTCTTTCTCTTATACTGCACTGCAATATTTCAGAGTAGCCAAAAAAGGCGTGAAATTACCATCATACTTAAAAATAATCTTTGCTGACAAAAATACACATTTAGAGATCATTAATCTATACTACTGAGATAGCCCTTTAAAGTTTCTTAGTAAACTTGGGAACCTGATAAACACCTTTAGCAAAATATATGCTGAAAAATGAATGCAATCAAGAGACATCCTATACCATCACAGTATCTGCCAAGCTATGATCATCAATAAAATGGGTATCAGCAGGTAAGTTGTTGCTGAATTGCTGGTTCCGCCTGGGATGGAAGATGAATCCTTAGCATACCATCTCCCAAAGAGAGACACTGTCAGGATAGGCTCGGATGGTCCGTTCTTGTTCACCAAACGCCCATCTTGTAGTACCTAGAGAAACAGTGGGAAAAGTATAGTCAGCTTGATTAAAATATGCATTGCAAGCAGACTAGTGAATACAAAACAATCCTAGATGTCATGGTTGATCAATAGCTCCAGCTTGGTAGGGGTGAGGGGGTGGGGGGAACAGGCAGGACAGGAGGGGACAGCCATTTTACATGTAATGAAGACTAGAGCCACCGGGCTCAATATCTGAGTTTCAACAATCAAATGTAACCCTTAATGAAAAGTCAAAAAAGCAGCAGCAACGAAGATTTATTGAGTCCAATTATGTGTGAGGCAATCAGGACCCACGAGGGTATAAACCACAGCCCTCTCTCAAGAAACTTAAAAGCTAAAGGTGAAATGGAGCGGATACTAAGCATAAAGAGAGAAATCAGTATATTAGTATATTAGAGCGGGAAAGAGGTAAGTGCTTAGGAGGTCTGAGAAGGAAAAGCTGGACTGGTCTGCTTCCCAGAGCAGACACGACACGCCACAAGAAGGTGCAGTTAATGAATTTCTCCCTGGGGCTGTATGACAGAAGACATCCTGGGAATTGGAAATCAAAGCAGCAAAGGCTCGTTCTGAGACAGAAGTGTGTGTGACAGGTCTAGCAACGTTCATTCTCACTCCAGTCTGGCTAGAAACAGGGTGCATGTGCTTGCGAGAACAGAATGTTAAATTTCCAAGAACTTGAAATATAGTAATTCTTGAAACCAATCACGCTGGGAGTAAGGGGTCAGTATCCAGAGATGCGAGACAGCAGGACAAGTTCTGAGAACTGTTAAGAGTTGAGACCTACAAATACTATAGGGTTAAGCACTTACCCTTTTACTCTTTTGTATCATTCTCTAAATGTTCCCAACTGACTGAAACCATTTGAGATAAAAAATTTAAATCAAAGAAAGGAGGTAGGTATGTACTAATTTTTTCATGGTCTACAACTCCTCACCAACTACCACCATCCATCTTCTTAAAATACTGATGTGGTTCAGAGTGATAGTGAAATGGCATTTCTGGCTCTGGACCTTTAGCCTGGTCTGGAGAACTCTACCAGCTTTTTGTCTTTCTCCCATGGATGAGACGCTTTGGGGAAATAAATGCCCAGTCCCACTCGAGGATAATTTCTCAGGGAGATACATTTCTATGAGTACACGATGTGGGGGAAAGTGTCAAAATAATACCTAGACAACTAGACTGTGCTCAGTTTAAATGGCAGGGCTTACACGACCCCGTGAGCACCAGTGCTGCCAGAACCCACGCCTTCCTCAGCTCACCCGTGTGAGCCCTGCTCTCTCTCCTCTCAGCTCCTTAAGTGGTCCCAGATATTTTCAATTCATCTACGCTTATTTGTGCCACCTTTCAACTACTTGATTTCCGTTCCAGATCCCTCACTTCAGATCTGATTTTCTGCAATTGGCATTTAAGCTTTCATTCCAGCATTTGCTCAAGAAATTTCTACCTAACCAGGTTCTATTAGCAGCCAAAGATTCCTGTTCTCTGGGTGTCCCAGCCTTAAAGCCATACTGTATGTTAAATGGTTGGTTTCACAGAATTAAATATTTTTATAAATATAACGTATTCCAATCTGATAATACAGGCAGACAGAGATTTATGACCATAAGCAATCTGCAGTTTTAAAGACTTTCTTGCTAAATGCCTTAGATAATTAACTTAGATCTTATTTTTCTTTTACAGAAAATGCAATGACTTCAGCCCAGTTACTGAAGGCTGCCAGTGTTTGCCACAGTTCAGAGAAGACATTAAGGTTCAGACTGGTGGAGTGTGTGTACGTATGTGTTTGTGTGTGTGTGCAGGTGCTGATATAAAACCGCAAAGTCTTAATTCTAATTTGAGGCCAGCTTAATTTGTGAATTAATTGGTTATTGCCACTATAATGTGTGAAATGAATATCTGATTTTCTCCACATGTGAGAAAAGAAATTTAAAAATCTATAAACAAACATTTTTCAATGAGTGGCGCCTTGAGCTCGTAAGTTCTAGTTATCCTACCGTTATTCCAACAAAGTGTCCTCATTTTAGAGTTGGTTGCTGTAAATTGTAAAAATGGCCACAAAATGTTCCCCTCCTTTATCCGTGCCCTGTTGCAATGTGATCTTACAGCTCTTCCCGCTGAGAGATCTGCATCATTTATTTCTCCACCCTGTGAGGCTGCACTGGTCACGGGACTTGCTTCGGTTGATGAGAACATTTGTAAACATGGTGCAAGCAGAGACTTGAAAGGAACTTGCCCATGCAGCTTTCTTTGTTGATGTTCTTGGTCTCCTTCAACTACCATGTAAACAAGCCCAAGCTTGCCTTAAGACCAGAGACCACGGCGGGGAGTGGCCCCAGTCATCCCACCTGCCCACGACAAGGCCTCACAAACCAGCCAGCCCCAAACAACCCACTAGCTAAGGGCAGATGTGTGTCTGAGCCCAGTCAAGACCACCTGGACACTGTTTCAGACCAGAAGAACAGCCTGGCTATACCCAGTTCACACTGCCAATCACCAAATCTAAGGCTAAGGAAATGGTTATTGTTCCAAGTCATTAAATTTTGAGGAACTTTGTTGCATAATGAAAGTTAACTGATACAACTGTTGCAGCCTGTTTCACCTGGCTTCAGAGAAGAGCTCAAACGAAAATACTCTTAAAATCCTCCTACCTCAAATTTTCCAGGTGACAGGTGAATTTTAGTAAGTAGCACTTCTGGAATGACATACTCTGTTCCAAATGTGCCACTTAAGGAGAACATTTCAAATCTTGTAGAAGCAGTTTCTACCGGCCGCCCACAAGTTGTCAAATTAGTAGTTTTGCATTTCAGCATTGTGCACACCTATGAGGAACAGACACGGATAAAATACCATGCTTTACATCTAAGTTGCTTGTACTAGGACTGTTGACTCAGTTTATAACCATAAGAAAGCATATAGTTTCTCCATTTGTTGAAGAGATTTGGATCATGTTTCTTATAGTTAACCGCTTTATTAGAAATGGCAAATGACTTGAGAAGCAACCCCACTTCCTGGGCAACAAGTGGACTGAAAAAAAAGAAATCTGTTTAGAATTAAACTTAAACCACTAGTTTGGCATGTCAGATGATGGCACTTGGCCCCAGAGAGTGGAGGTCCTTGGGCAACAACAGTACTAGTGCTAAACATTGACTAAAACTTGACCATCTCTTTTTCCCATCTCCTTTTCTTTAGGAGAAGGCAGTGGGGCACAGAGTATAATAAGAAAATACAAATTGCACAGTCAACACCATATAAAAAGTTTGCGTTTTAAATATTTATCATTGAAAGGGAATAAAATGACCAGGACATCTGATTACAAGAGAAACTAAGATAAAAGTTGTATTCCTACTCATTGATGGTTTTAATAGTTAAAACAAGACTATTTATACTCAGATATGTCAGCAAAACTACTTAAGGAAGCCTTATTGAAGTACACTACAATATGTAAACTAGTTCCTTGGTCTAATAGAAAATCATCATGGTCAGGTTAATAATTTTTTTTACAAAATTGCTTGCTCAAAGCAAGCAATCAGATTATACTTAACTCCCATTGCAAATATCATATGATTAATCCCAAAGCATAGGGGTGTGTGTGTGTGTGTGCATGCATGTGTACGCATGTGTGTGGGTGTGTAATATAGGCAATGCCTGGAGTTGTGCCAAGAAAAACCATTTGGCTCCCTGAGATAGACACAAAAAGTTACCCTTTTCCCTTTAGTGACACCTAAATGCTCCCTCTCACTTCAGCTCAAAGTACCTGCCAGTACTCTTTTCTCCTTCGGCCGTGAAGTCCTGAAAAAGCTCCCAGAGCATACACTTCATCCTCTTCCTTTCCTAACATCCTGTAGCTTAAATGACAGCAGAGATCTTTTTGACAGACTGTAAGGTTTCCTGCATTTTCAAAAAGTTCTGTGAAGTTGAAAGCGTCCCGGGAAATAAATGCCCGGAAGGTGTTTTTCTTTCCTGGGAATGGTCTGATGGTTGTGGCATGGGCACTCCAGTTCACAGCTGTTGGGTAGGCAGGAGAGTCTCGGGGATGCGAATCCACTTCCGCAAGGAGGAGCTTTCCCGACTCTGTCTCCATGTCATGGTGGTATACTTTGGGAGACTGTGGTGCATAGATACCGCTGCCTGTGAACACAAGACAAGTCTTTTTGAAAGGAAAACAAAATCCTCACCGCCAGTTCCCCCATCAGAACTGGGCATGTGGTCATGTCACCTCATCATTCACGGGAGACAGCACACAGGCTGCTAGTGACACTCAGCACCTAAGGACTTCTATTGTCTGTTGGAGGAAATTAAAATAGATGCTCAATGGTCTCATTTCAAATAAACTTTGAATATAATAGGATTATTCATTAGCATTATGGACCATTAAGCCAAATATAAAAATCTTTGTATTTGGGAGTTTCTGAAAGGTAGGGGAAGGTAATACAAAATTCTCTCCTGTTCCCCACTGTGGTGGTGGTTGTCAAATCCATCCAAAAATTTTTCAGTGCTCCTCCCTCCGATGGGTAGATCTACTCCCTCCACTTCGACGGCAGGCTGGGCTTAGTGACTCACTTCTGCTGAATAGAGCATGGAGGAGTGGCGGTGTGTGACTAGTCATAAACAGCAGCGTAGCTTCCGCCCCACCACCACCGTCCTTCTCTCTGTCTCTCTCTCTCCTCACTGGCTCTGGAGGAAGTCAGCTGCCACCCCATGAGGGTCCATCACACAGCCCTCTGGAGGCCCAAGTGGCAAGAAACTAAGGTCTCCTGCCAACAGCCACTGAGGAACTAAGGGATCCTGCCAGGAGCCAGGAGAGGCAGCTACCCTGGAAGCAGACCTGACGGCCCCGGTCAGGACTTCAGATGACTCCTAGCCCAGCTAACAGCTTGATGTAACCTGCAGAGAGAGCCTGAGCCAGGACCACCCAGCTAAGGCAGTCCCAAATTCATGACCAACAGAAAATGTGAGATAATAAAGGCTTGTTGTTTTAAGCCACTTTTACTTTTCACTTTTAGGGTAATTTGTTACACAGCAACATGTCAATCACACTCTCCTCTGCTCTTTGCCAGTGTTAGGATCTTGTTTACGTCCATGCTTTGCCACTTACTGGCTGGTAGCTTTTGGCAAGTTACTTGCATTCTCCGTGTCTCAGTTTTCCAATCTGTGAAATTGGGATGATAATACCCATCCCGTAGTGTTTTGTGAGAATACATGAAATAATACACATAAAGGTCTTAATATACCATAGCTGTCATAATCAGCTTTTCTCTCTGTAAAAGACTGACAAACATAGTGAGGAGTCCCAACAAAGAAGTAAAACATGATGGCAGGTTATGTCCAAGATATTAGCTTCTCCGCACTTAGAAGTACCCTTGCAGACCTCATCTGGTCACGAATTACCTGTCATATTCATGTGGATATTGTGGGTGTTGGCCGCAAGAAGATTAACTCTCATGCCCACAGCCCAAGCCGAGTGGAATTCAATAGCTGTCAGAAGGGGCAAGACATTCATCCAAGCTGTGGGAAACAGGATGGTATCCACATGGAAATCTTTCACCAGGGTGACAGCAGGATCGTGGAAGAAAATATCAAAGCACGTGAAAATGCCAAACCTTCCAAAGGTGGTGTTGAAAGTCACCAACTCGGGCTTTTCAGGGACATCAAACTGAGGCTCAGAGTAGAGGTGGTACTGTAATAGATGAATAGGAACAAAGCAGGGAAGGCTTGTTTATTGAAGCAACAATCTGTAAAAACCCTCCAAAGTTGGTAATAGATCTGGCTGTGGTCAACAAGAGGAAGCCTATAGGAAGTGCATGAATCTATGATTGAAAGTCAATGTCCAAGGAAAGCATGGAGAAATATAGCCTCTCTCTCTCACTCTCTCTCTTCCCCTACCTACCTTGCCCCTCTCTCGATGAGGAGCCAAATAGCTTCCTGAAAAGTGGAGAAGCTTTTTTATGTTTCAGTATCAGGGAAATCTCTGATACCTAGAAACATACAGATGCACAATAAATACCTGTGAATCGGATACAGGATGCTACCTCCCTCTTTACAGCATCCCATCCAAAGTAATCTGGGGGACTCTTATTCAGCTTTCAAAATTCCTGTTGCAAATGAATGTTTTATTTAATTCTCCTGGATTCCCTTCAGGAAAACTTGAAAAACTACCCTAATATAAGAATCAGAGTCAATAGTTTAATAAAATGGTTTGCAAAGTAAGGAATGCCAAGGGTTAGAAATAAGACTATTAAAACTTCTCTCTAGATTTATTTTCTATCTAAAAAAATGAAAGAGAAATTGAACTTTACTAGTATTTTTAAGAATTGATTGACAAAAGTACTCTGATTGGGTCCATGCGTCAGAGGTCGTGGGGCACGAATCGTCTCCGAGGCACCCTGAGAGGAGAGCGAGGCCCTCCACTAGGATGAGGAGGACCACAGACTCCTCACTAGCTCGCCCCCTCGCAGTGCGCTCTGCCACCCTGCAGTTTACCTGGGCCTGGGTAAGTGGGTGGACCAAACTCTGCTACCAGTTTTACTAAATCAACACTCACAGATGGAAGAATAGCTTAAAATGATTCTTGCAAAGAAAGTGCATTAAAAGATGATACTCATAATATAAACATAGTCTCAAAAACAAGAAAATGGGAGAGCTGACATTTCTATTCCTAGTATGAGACACATTTTTGAGGAGAACATGAAAGTTTAATTACATACGAAAAGTTGTCAAAACCTACAGTTATGGAGAAAACTTTTTGAAAGTTGAGTTTTATTTATAAATACAAAAATTTGGACTTAAAATTTTCTTCTGATTGGGGTATATGATCAAAAACATTTGAAAATTACTCATTTAATATCACTCCTCTTGACTAACGCTTATATATTAACTGGGACTTTCAGGAGATAATTTCTCCACTCAAAAGATTCTGAGGCTATAATTTAAGATGCTGAGAAAAATATGGGGGAGGAAGAGGGACATTCACATTGACCTGCACACCACATGTCCATTTAAAAGGCCAGCCTTTCTCTCTAGCCAATTAGTATAAAATTAAACTTCAGGCTATTTTACTCTTTCAATTCAGAGGTTAAAGTAAAAATTTTATGATTTGGCCTTAAATCAATTAAGAGGGTAACTAAATTAATTGGTGTAGAAAATACATAGAGAGATCACTTTTGTGACCTGATAGAAAACAGGGAAATTGACTCCCCTGAAACTGATTCATAGAATTTGGAAACATCTTTGTGTCATTTCAATATTAAATGGTATCCAGATTAGTCATTTTAGTATCTTCTGTGTCAATATTTAAATCACTTGTTTTATATATGCAAAAAATTTACCTCAATCTTGGACTATTACAACACCTTTCTCACAAGTCTCTGCCTACATTTTTATCCAGATTAGTTTTCTTCTAAAACGTCATTTTCTTTACTGTCCCTTTTAAAAAAATCTCTAGTGACATCATATTATATGGGGAATGAAGGTCAAACTCCTAAACACAGCATCCACCACTGTCAGAGCAGGCTCCGTTTTACACACCCAACCCCCTTACCTTATGGTAGCGTGCTACCAGTTTCCCCTCCGCATCATATACCACATTGGTGTTGTATTGATAATAGCCATTGGGAGGACACATGGAGTTATGGCGATTACATGGCTTCTTGTCCCCCATATTTGCCAAGACATAGATTGAGTTGTTCTTGGCCAGGCAGCTGAGTCTTACTTGTACTGGTGTGTAACCAAATCTAAATCAAATTTTAATTAAGACATATCAGTAAGTCAGACAGAGAAAGACAAATACTACATGATATCACTTACACGTGGGATCTAAAAAAGTGGAACTCGTAGAAACTGAGTGTAGAATGGTGGTTACCAGGGGCTAGGGTGTCAAGGAACTGGAAAGATGTTGTTTATTAAGGGGACAAACTTGCAACTAATAGATAAATAAGTCCTGGAGATCTAACACACAGCATAGTGATTATAGACAACAATACCATCTTATAAACTTCAAAGTTGCTATGGGAGTAGATCTTAAGCGTTCTCACTACAAAAAAGAAATGGTAATTATGTGACATGATAGAGATCAGATTTAAAATGTCACATCTTATACTTAAACCTGACGAATTTTTCTCCACATCGTATCTCTGGCTCCAGCAATTCATCATCCACTCTCCTTGATCATCCGTGTCACCTCTCTACTGAATCATCTCATCAGCATGCAAATATGCTCTCATATCTCTCATCTTTAAACAAATAAAATAAGAACCTCTCTTGACCCCACAAGCCCCTCTAAATTAATGCTCCATTTCTCAGCTCCTCTTACAGTAAAACTCCTTGAAGAAGCTGGCTATCTCGCTGTCCCCAACTCATCCTCCCCCATTGTTTTTTGAAGCACTCAAAGCAGCTCCCATCTCTATCAACCCACCAACAGCTCTTAGCAATGCCAGTGATGACCTCCTCATCTTACCTGATTTTGTCCTACTTACTTGCAGCACTTGACACAGTTAATTACCCCTCCTCCTGGAAACACTGCACCTTGCTCATTGGACCCCACTCTCTCATTCTCCTCCTCACTGGCTGCTCTTCTCCATCTCCTTTGCTGGTTCCTCCTTCGTCTCCCCTAAGTCTAAACATTGGAATTTCCTAGAGCTCAAGCCTTAGATCTCTTCTCTTCTCTAACTCACTCCATAGGAGAACCCATCACGATGTTAAAAGCCATCTATATTCAGACTCCTGATGTTCCATCTCCAGCCCTAACCTTGTCCTTTCATGCCAGACTTGTATACGCAACGGTCAGGTTGACATCTCCACTTGGATGTCTGAAGGGCAGCTCAAACTTTAGAGTCACAAAACTGATTTCCTTATTTCCATCCCAGACTTGTTATTCCTTCACTGCTCTCTATGTCTGTAAATGGCAATTGTATGCCTCCAGTTCCTCAGACCAAAAACTTGGGAGTCACTATTGATACTTCTCTTTTCTCATACCTCCCCAAACAATCTGGCAACAAATCCTGTCACCTAAAACATAGCTATCATGTGGTCACTTCTTTCCACCTCCACCTCTTCCATCCCAGTTTCCGTCTCCATCAGCTCTAACCAAGACAGTCACAAGAGTTTCCTAAATAGTCTCCCTGCTTTGCCACTGCCTGCCTAGTCTTTTCCCAATACAGAAGCCAGAGTGGTCCTTTTGAAACACGAGTCAGATTGGATCACTCCTCAGCTCAAAGCCCTCCAGTGTCTCCCCGTCTCACTCAGTGGAAAACCCAAAGTTCTTACAATCAACTTCAAGACCCAACATAATCTATATCACTCGCACAACATGGCACCTTTCTGACAGCATGCCACAATTTCTGTCCCTTGCCAATACACTGAAGCCATAGTCACTCAAAGCTCTGTAATCAATCCAAATAAAAGAAGAACCACAATAGGTCCTACACCTCACTCCACCCAAGCACCCCATTCCCCCTGTTCTTATCACCATATGACATTCTATGCAAAACCTGAGTTTGTTTACATCTGACTTCTCCCTGTAGAACATTCAAAAGCCGCAGAGATGGTGGCAACTTGTTTTTTAAGTGATGTATCCCCTACTCCTAGAATAGTATCTGGCACATTTTAAGTTCTCAGTAAACAATGGTTAAATGAATGAATGAAGAGATTGATGAATTAAATGTGACTATATTGGTGATGATGCAAACCCATTTTCTGTCAAAATTTGTTCCTTCCACTCTAGGGCTATGAAAGAGCTATTTATTAACCATATGGAATAAACCTGTCCCCTTACCTTCACCCAACCTTCACTAGTTTTCATAGCTAGTGTGATCTTTGACTCAGCCATAAAAGACAACATATTTTGTTTTTAACAGGATAGTCAGAACTCAATCCTACTGTGAATGAAAAACAAAATGAGTTGTCCCAATTCTCAAAACTTCTATGCAGAAAGACTCTCCAGCTATTGGCCTCTCTTCCTACACAAAAGAAAGTTTCACGCAAACACCATAGAGAGTGTCAGCTCAAAACACGAAGGATGGGAAGATGGAACCTTCCACTATCACAAAACCCATGTTCTCCTCTTTGGGTAGTTGATCTCTCCTGAGCTAGGAAAAGCCATTTCCTGATAACTCTTATCAGAATAACGAGGGATGCCTAAAAACATGTGGTATCCATAATCCTCCAGCAAGAACATGTAGAGGAATGTTTAATAAACTTAACTGGAGGTAAAAATGTGAGAGAAAGTATGAGAAGGTAAGAGAGAGGGAAAGGATCTGACAGGTGAGAGAGAATGAGGGTGAAAGAGTGAGAGATCTTTGACTGCAAGTACAGAAGTGTGCAATCTGTACCTAAAAAATTTAATCTTCAAGTCTTAGTAGACAGTGTGATTTACATATTAAACTTACACTTAGATGTATTAAATATTTTATAATACAAGGTTTCTAGATTTCACTTTCCTTGGAAAACTAGCTTGAGAAGCCTAGGAAAACGCAAAGTTTCAAAGCATAAGGTCTTATGATTCACTAGCGAGTACATAGTGAGGTCTTTCTGCCTGGGAAGCGATTCTGGAACAGAGACTCCATAAAATTGCAATATATTACCTTCCATAGAGACCTTGGAGTATTTTCCAAACACAACCCATTATCCTCCTCAGAAATTAACTTACTAACTGGTATTCACGAGATTCTCTTCCCTTAGTTTCTAATCCCCGTAATAAATACCCTACTACATACTTTCTCCAAATTTAATAAAGACATTCAATAATAAATGATTGTTAAATGGTATCTAAGTACAATTTTTTTAATCTAACCAATGCCAAGATAAATATAATAATAACATACACCACTTACATGATAATTCAGGATTTGTCATTTTGCTGTGGTGAAGGTTCGTATTTTAGAGAATTACAGCCCTTTTGCACAAACAACTAGGATGGTTAAAATACCTGTTGGAGTCCTGACACGGAATCCAGTTCGCCTGAGGGTCCGGGACGTCCTCCAGATAAGGGAAAATGGTTTCCCTGGTAAATGTCCAACCATAAAGGGCATCTTCTGGAGTCACAATGATTTGAGCACCCTGTTCAAAAGACGTCAAATCAAAACGATTTCTCCACGTGTAACGTAGACAATCCAAAACGCCAATCTTCCACTGGCTCTCATGCCCCTCCCGTAAATTATGATTAGCAAAAAGAAAAGAATACCTGCTTTGCTGCCTGCTTAATCGCTCTCTCCAGAATATCTATATTCTTGTTCATGAGGAGCAAGGCATCGTCCTGAGAGACAGGTGTCACTGTTGTTTTTGGCAGTATGACGGCGTGTTCATAAACTGCAGCTATGAAAGTATCCAGGGCCCCAACATGCAGGATAATTACGGCAAAAACAGCCGCAGAGGTTCGAAAAGAGGAAGCAATCATGGCCAACGTCTAGTGATTTCTGAAAGTTAAAGTAACATTCATGTAATATTTATAGAGGGAAACATTTATGTAATGCATGCTTGCCAGCTACTGGGCTCTTATTTCATAATCTTATGAATGTTATGCTTGACCACTTTGAAGGAAAATAAAATTGCAGTTCAATGAACACAATCAAAAGGTATTGTAAGGACTATACAACATGTACCATTGATGAGATTTGATCTCAAATTTCAAAAAAGCAAATTCAAATATAGTACAATTGTCCTCTTTCATTAATAGAAGGAAAACAGTGACTAAATTAACTTCCACGTGAAAAATCATAATACAACAAACATTTCGTTTATTAAGTTACAAAAGCTAGGAAACAGTTTCTTTCTGTTGTATTGAATGATTTACATTAAGTTTATTTTTAGAAGAGGAGAAAAATTTTTAAATGTTTACTACTAGGAGAAGGCACTACAGAACAATATTAGGAACAAAATTCATCCAAATCCACGCTCCGACTTACCTGTTAAAGACAAAAACCGTGCACTCCCTGAAGCAAGCTTTCGAGTCTGGTTTGTTCACTGCTGCACCTTCAGTGCCCAGAGCCCTGATTCTTCAGGTGCTGCTTCTTGGTGTCTGGTCAGAGGAGAAATCAAGAACCTCTCCTGAGGGAGCCCCAACCCTCAGGGGACTGAGCCTCCTTACCCCCTCCCTCCCTCCCTCCCTCCCTCCCTCTCCCTCCCTCCTTCCTTCCTTCTTTCCTTCCTTCTTTTGGAAATAGATACAAGGGAAGGGGAGGTGTCTCGGGCTGGTGATCACAGAGATCGTTTCTGTTATAACCCAGATAAGACGTAACTTTCATTTTTGTTAGAGGCAAATAACCACATAAATGAGTCTCTAAAAAAACACGTACATTATGTGATCTCTGATAACCTCCTAGGACATCCATCTTCTCCCTTTCCCTGTCTCAATCCTACTGTGCAAGGGTTTCATTATTTTTTTAAAAAATCTGAGTTTCTTGGTAAAAGCCATTCAAATACTTTTAGACAGCATAGAAGAGTAGAAACATAAATACAATTCTTCTGTGTTTTGCCTTATACTAAGATAAAATTCTTGGTCAGGGTAAGGTCTAAGGACTGTAAATAAGCTCTTCTCATATTTTCTGCTTTGACCAGAACTTTTTATTAAAGAAATAACTTCTTACCTCTATAGAATAGAAAACTGAAAATAATTTCTAGAAAAATCGTCAAGTCCTTTAGTGGAAAACGTGAAGCAATAGATATTTTGTGAATTTTGGGCAGATTGTATAATAGATTATTATTATGTGATTATACTGTATAAATAGTTTGTATATTAGTATAGGTCATGTGTATAGAATCTATTTTTATATGGTAGATTATGAGTGTATTTAGGGTTCAGAGAGCATGTAACTCAAATGCCCACACTTTACAGGACAGAAATCTGAGGCATAGAGAGGCAGAGTGACTTGGAGCAGGTGTAGTACTTCTCATTCCTGATTCCAGAATCTTCCCCTGACACCCAAGATATCATGCATGTGTCTGTGCTCTGGTTTAATGTCTGCATCCAAGTGTCTGAACATTTGCATCTGTTAAGGAACCCAATTAAAAATGATCCCCTTAAGGACACCCCAGGTGGATCTGCTAAACCTGAATGAAGATTTGACACAGCCGATGCCCAGTGAAGACCCTTAAGCTCTTCCTCCTCTGCAAGTATAATTTGGATCATGATCTGCTTCCATGTGACTTAATCTCACCAATTAGCAACACTTCATTATCTCTCTTGCTTAGAAGGAGTCGGCTAAGCTGGTGAAGACAAGCTAATATCTTTACTTTTGAGGGTAGGGGCAGACACAATCACATCTGTCTTTCACATCTCAGTGTCCCCAAATTTCCTGGATGTTTTTCTCTCTTTGTGGCTATAAACGAGAGAAATGGTGTTAATTAGAGTCTTTTGGCTGGACGGGGAAGGGGCAAATGGCTTCTGATGTGAAGCCAAGAAGACCAAGCTCCCTTTTCTCTCTGCGCTATTTCAAAATTATTCGTAAAAATTGAGAATCTGAGTACAAAGGCAATTGCATGGAAGAGCCAGAAGTTAGTAAATGAAACAGCAACTTCAGTGTAGAAAGATCCTTAAGACATAAAGAAAAACACTTTTCAAACACTTCCCATAGCGGGAGCTGATCTTCTTTTAAAACTTCAGAAGTAGAAGACCCAATTCAGGACACAGAAGGTCGAGAATTTACATTTTCATGTTCATAAAGGTGACTGGTTTAGTAAGGTTTACCTTCTTCAGTTTAACTCAGTTATAAAATGACGTTACTTTGCCACAGGGAACATTGATTATAATTCACTGCTAACAGAGCCTACTTCTAACTTATCATTGTGTGATTAACAGACTTAGTTATAAGGGTGAAAAGTTAAAATCAATTCAAAATTAGATCAAAAAGTCACTTTAAAGAACAATCATAGCTCAAATACTTGCTTCTAATTGTGAATCTGATCATCTCGGAATAGTACTCAGTTGGGCCAGGTTTTAAGTGTGTAATAAGTAAGAAGAGTAGAAGTATACTTTCTCCTTTGCACCCACTTCTTGAACTCCCATTTCTCAGGTGATCATACCTGCTCTATCTCCTTCACAAGGTTATTGCGAGAGTCAAAGACACATGAAAGTTCTCTGTAAGGTTATAATGGGATGACAATAATTAACGAAAATGCATGACAATTTAGTAACGTAATCATGCTGACTGCTTAATCTCATCTAATTGTTAGGCCCACAGAACTACTACTATTCAATTAAACAAATCTAGTCTATTTGGGGTACTATGCTAGTGAACTGCTGGGGATGAAGTGGGGGACAGGGTACCTGGGCACCAACTCCTGGATCATGCCAAGCTGGGTATGGCAGATACACACCCGCGATGCAGTGGAGACACAGCAAAGACACCAACAAACACAGCCACAGGATGGTAAGGAGCAGCTCTGGGCTCTGACACACACTGAAGGACTTCCCAGTCTGGCCTCTTTCCAGATATGAAATGACAAGTCAGTGAGTTGAGCAATGAAGAGTTGGAAATAGCACACACAATTGTTGACAGCATTTCCTTACAGGCAGCAAGGATGACACATCAAAATAAGAAGAAAAACAGAAAAATCAGGCCCCTAAAACTATTTTCTCTTGCTACTATATACCAACAAAAGGATGATACTGTATCCAAAAAAAGTATTTAGTAGTGAAAAGCAATGTTTCTGTCCCTGTCCCCACTGGAATCTTGAACATGTCTTCACCAAGATTGTTTGACTCAGCCTCCTTGAAAGAGAATATCTGCTTGGGCAGAACCAGCCTGAACCTTAAGCACCTTTTGGTGCCAGTTCCTACCTAGGTGAGGCGCTCCTCTAGATGTAGACCTGGACAAGTGTTCAGCTCTTCAGACAGGTAAGGCAACTGAAACCAAGAGAAAATCCGAGCCTAATGAAATGCCATGTCCTGGCGTTCCCTACTGGATGGAAAGGGTTGTGCCACAGGAAGATGCCAAGAGTCAACTGTTTTAGACCCACAGCAACAGCAATTTCATGTGATTCAACCTACACTTCTCCTTTCTGCCCCAAGAAGTTTAGGACTGTGGGATGCTGAGCTGCAAAAGCCCCTTTGAACGGGTAGCATGCTCCCACACTGAGGGCCCCCACTTCTCAAAAGAAAAAAAGTAGCAAGCTCTCTTGATGATTTCATTCACAGATCATTAACTTAGTTCTGACACAACTCTGCCAAAAGTTCATAGCATTCCCCAACAAGAACGTTTAAAAATTCTCCTGGTTGGTGTTAGAGACTGAATGTTCATGTCCCCCCAAATGTTGAAACCTAACCTTCAGTGTGATGCTCTCCAGAGGTGGGGCCTTTGGGAGGTGATTAGGTTGTGACAGTGGGGCCCTCAAGAATGGGATTCCTGAGCCAGCCCTGATGGCCTAGTGGTTAAAGATCAGCCTCACTGCTTTGGCAGTCCAGATTTGCTTCCCGCTCACAGAACCACACCATCCATCTGTCAGTTGCCATGCTGTGGTGGTGGCTCACACAGAAGAACTAGAATGACTTACAACTAAGATATACAACCACGCACTAGGGTTTTGGGGAAGAAAAGAAAAGAAAAATGAATGGGCTTCCTGCCCTTATAAAAGACCCTTGCCCCTTCCACCAAATGAGGACACAGTGAAAAGATGGCTGTCTATGAACCAGGAGACAGGTCCTCACTGGACATTGAATCTGCCAGCAACTTGATCTTGGATTTCCCAGCCTCCAAAACTGTGAGAAGTATACTTCTGCTGTTTAGAAGTCACCCATTCTATGGATTCTGTTACAGCAACACAAACAGACTAAAACAGTTGGATTCAAAGCCTTTGGTAAAGTAAGGATGATACCACAACTGAAATAAGTTCAAAGGCGCTGGATCAAAGTCACATGTTTCTTTACGTATGCAGTTGTAGAGACATGCATTTGAAAGCGTAAGATACAAAACTAAAACTGAAATTTCAGGTACTTACGGGGAAAAAAATGAACAGATAGGTTAAAAACAGACAAGTGTTAAGCTGTGGTACATTTACTGCTTTGTCGAGCAATGCGAGGGCATCTCGAGAATTCACCTTGTTCATTTTCAATGAGCAAGAAAGCAAAAACCATGTTCGAGACCCAAGGCAACTACTTACAGGTTCTGTCTGGGTGAAACCCTCCCCTCCCCTCATTCCACCTGCTTTCCTCTTTCCAAGGCTTCTGGCCCCTTCAGTCACCCCGAGCTCCTATTTCAGTTTCCTTTCTGGGTGGGTAGCAGCCGGCCAGGATTCTGCCCCTCAGGCCCCAGCAGAGGATGTATTTGTTTCATCCTAGCCTGGCAACTCTGACTTCTGGGGTCTTCTTTCAAGCAGTCGCAGACGCGAGGTAACACAGGTCAGATAGAATTACATGATTTCTACCGAACAATGACCAAATGGCCAGGAGAAGTAACAGAGCGGTAGAAGCTGGACATTTTCCATCCCTCAAGGCCTAAGTTGACTCTTCAATTCCTGTCATACTCTTTCTCTTCAGCACTTTATTCTTCTACTGTAACACAGATCCACTCTAGAACTTTCCTCCATAGAGATAACTACATCTGCATGTTGCATCTAATTACTGGTAACTCCCCTGGCATGACTTTTTTCCCACTGTGGTAATGAGTCATGATGGTGTCAGGCAATGGTTAAGGATATGGACCCAAAGCCAGAATGCCTGGGTTTCAACCACTTCCTCGCTGTGTGACCATGAACAAGTTATGTCCTCTTAGTGCCACAGCTTCCCTCAGCTGCAAAATGGTGACATTGTGTGCTGAATAATTTTTGCCATTATTATTATTGCTTCATGCCCACAAGATGGGGGCTCTGTTGTGAGGGCAGTGCCCAGTGCAGCTTTGACCCAGATCTTGAACTCTCTGGTCAGATGCCCACCTGTTCTTGGCCACTAACTTGTTAAAAGAATGCCAGTTAGTTCACATTCTCTAGTTCTCCTTGTTCTGTCTCTTTCCACAAAGTTGCTCACGTTTCTCCTCTTCTATGTCAACCTGACTTGAGTGGGTTCTCCTGGAATTATCAGCCTAACGTCCATTTCTGCTGGGTAACCCTGACGGCTTTTCCTCCAGCTGTTCCCTAGATTCCCCCTGGGATCACTGGCTCTCACTCTCTGCTTCACGCATCATTGCATTTTTTTAAACCTCACACACAGACAAGATAAACTTACCAAGAAACTGGATCCCTCATACATCGCTGTAGGGCATGTTGTGAAACAGCCCTGGCCACTCTGGGAAGCAGCTTGGCAGTTTCTTCACAAGCTAATCTCAGCCACGCCCCTCCCGGGTGACGCAGTGAGCACACCCTCCTGTTCCCTGCTCTGGAAGAGGACCATGGGACACTGTTGGTGAAGAATTTCTTTATGAGCTGTTTCTTCAGTTTCTTATTGGCTGGGCCATTAACCAAAGTGGCTATATGCAAAGACAGAGAAGAAAAGCTGATGTCTTACATTTATCTGCTTTGAACACCCCAAATCTGAGTCTTACGCCCCAACTCTGCTAAGTGGAATTCATTTATACGGAAGATCGGTTAATGCGCAGTATCTGTTTGGAAGTGCTCGCTCTTCTGAGTCCACTCACCAAGTCCTGAGAGCTGTGTTAGGACAAATTCACCAGCTACAGGAAGAAGAAGCTGATCAGATCTTCCTTTCTCACGCGGTTTTTTTCAATTCATAATGCTGTTTTATCCTCCGGACTGTTTCTTCTTTCAGAAAGTTTGCAGTGGCATGCATATAACCTGATGCCGCAGCTTCCTGACGGTGAGATGACAGCGTCACCTCCTCGTGCACATCCGTCCTTGTCCTCTCACTCCTCCTGTTGCAGATCTAGAGGCTGGGCCTAGCTCAGAAAGGGACTCCGCAACAATCAAGTGACTGCTCCTTCTCAGACGAGTAAACGGAAGAGGCAAAAGCAAACCGGCAATAGTGAGAAATGAAGGGGAAACCGCAGAGGACGTGAATGTAGCTGAAAGATCTGAAAGTATAAGAAGGAAAGGTGTTAGTGAAATGAAATGAAACATTTATCTACACTGCTTTTAATTCTCCTATCTGAATTCATCCAACAACTGATTTCATGGCTGTCACTTTTGAAATATATACTAATGTGATTTAACTGATGTGGTATTCAAATTTGTCTTGAATGACAAAAACTTTAAAAAGATAATAATGGTCCACTTTTTGTATTTATCATGCTATTGTTGACCATTGTCAACAAGAAAATCACTTTGAGTTGTTTATGTCAGTAGTGATGATGAAACCGCACTAAACTGGAAGTCATAAGTCATTACTGGACGCCACGCCCTCCCAGATTGTCTCCCGATAGGCACCACAGCAAATAAGTTGGGATTAGAGGCGGAGCTGTGGGTTTTCTGAGAGAAGCTAGTGCAAATATTTTAAGAGTTGCAAGTTGTTCCTAATGAAAGACTGAATAAACAGGCTTTAGTTCCATTTGTCAATACTTTAGGCAACATTTTATTTTTTCTGTCTAAACACGTTGTTTCTAAGCCTTACTCTCCTATGGGTTTATTTAATAAATTGAGGATATATGACAGCAATACCAAAGGAAAGACAGCTATCATAGCCCCTGGAGCATCCCCATTTGATACGATTGTTTGTAAATAAAAGATATCTGCTTCTTCACTTCTCATTTATTATTGCATTGAATGAAAATCAGTTGGCTATGTCAGCATTCATTGTCCACCTCTTTTGCCAGCTAGGTTTGAGAGGGTATATTTAACACATTTAAATCTTGGTATCTTAATAAGCAAGTAATAAAATATTTCATTAATATATGATATTTATTGTCCAAATCAAATTTCCTATGTAAAATAAATGGATTATTTAGGGAAAAAACTAATCAGGCAGCTACCATACACTGGAGCAGTTGTACTCCTGGGCATTTATCCCAGAGAAACGAAGACATATTCACACAAAAACCTGTACATGTTCATAGCAGATTTATTTGTTATTAGGATAAACTGGACCCAATCCAGATGTCCTTCAGTGGATGAAGAGTTAAGCTGTATATCCACGCCATGGAATACAACTCGGCAATATAAGGAAATGAACGATCAATACATGCAACAATGGGGATGGATCTCAAGAGCATTACGCTGAACGCAAAAAGCCGATCGCAAAAGGTAACACACTATGTGAGTCCATTTATGCAACATTCTTGAAATGACAAAACCAGAAATGGAGAACAGAGAAGTGGTTGCCAGATATTAAGGAGGGAGTGAGGGTTAGAGGGAAGTGGGTGTAGCAACATGGTCAACAGGAAGGAGGCGGATGTCTATCCCCCTCGACTCCACCAATATACCCTGCTTATGACAGCGTACTGCAGCGGTGCAAGATGTCACCATTGGGGAACCCGGGGAAAGAGAATGGAGGATCTCTGGGTATTATTTCTTACAACTGCATGTGAATCAACAATTATCTCAAAGTAAAAAAAGTTTAATTAAAAAAATTTGTGATTATTTGCCCTTTTTATTCTTCCTTTAGATTTATCTGTACATCATATATGTATAGGCTGCAATATGATCTTAACATAAAAGATACCTTTTACTTATTATTATTATATTCTACATCCAGTCTCATTTTTAAAAAAAGGTGATTTTAAATTGGGCACCTTTGATACATGTAGAATAATATATAAAAATAAAAACACACACACAGATTTCCTTTGATAGTTTTGACCTACCTTTTGGTTTCACTGTTCAAAGTTCCTCTATCCTTTCTCATAATTTTAACTTTTTTTGGTCATTTGTTATAATACTTCAAAATCATAAAATGAGGAAGGGGCAAAGCTGGTTTCGTACAAAGCGTCTTTAAATACACTGGTATCCGCAGCACGTACCGACGGCAGAGCGCGTAGGGAAGGAGAACAAAGCCTGGAATCTCTGCGTTGACCTTAAACAGTCAACAGCGCTGGTAACGGGGATCAGCTGGCTGTCCTGAGCGACGGCCGCCGGGTGGGGGCGGTGCGCGCTCGCGGTGCTTTCGTAGCGGCCCCCGCGCGGCAGCAGCGGAAACTGCAGGTGTCCAGCGGCATCCTCGGCCCCTGGGCGGGGGACCGGCGCCCCGCGGGAGCCTGCACGGAGCAAGGAAAGGCGCTGGAGAGCGGCCAGGGCGATTTAACCAGGGCGATGGAGGCCTGGCCCCTTCTGCACCTACAGGGGTGCAGCGGACCGGGGTTACACTCCGTCCTGCTGCCGCTCTGGGAGTGGGAGTGGGGAAGGGGTCACAGGCCGCTGTGCGAGGTGTGCACTGGACCACGCTCTCCGGAGGTCTTGTGAACAAGGGAAGCATCGGGGGAGAGGGGATGAAGAGTTCATGGGATTTGTGAATACTCGATTTTAGCAATTTCTGCCAGTCTTCCTAAATGGTCATAGTTCCAGTTTTCTCCATCGTCCCCGACCTTGGTATTGTCATCCTTGTAATTTTTGTCCTTCTTCTGGCCTCAAAGGGCACCCCATCATGGTTTAATTTACCCCCTTCAGGATCTGTTTGGTTCCTAGTCTTCCACATCTCACTAAGAGGCACAGCGATCCACACATACCTTCAAGCCAAAAGCTGGAAGTCATCCTAAATGCCTCTCCTTCTCCCTCCACATCAGCAAGTCCTGTTGGTTCCACATCCAAACACAACCTTTTCTCTGCATTGCCACCACCACCTCCCTGGTCCAAACCATTCATGTCTCTCTCAGAATTTCTGAAGATCTCCCTACAACCCCGCTAATCTGCATCCCCAGTCACCGGCCGCCTGCAGACCAAACGACCTTCCTGAGATAGGAACGGAATTCTGGCATCCCCCACTAACAGGCTGCCTTCTCCACACACGCCACCATCTCATCTGACATGTCACACCCTTTTGCACATGCTGGGGACTGCTCAGCCCTCAGAATGACTGCCTCCTCCTCATTCTTCAGACCTCAGTTGAAAAATTCCCCCTCCATGGAGAGCCACGTCTACCTTAGGACCCCACACCCAATCAACCCCAGTCAGTTACTCTTTCTTATCACCATGTCTTTCCCTTCACACCATCTCTGTAAGATAATTAGAGATTATGGTATTTATTTACAATTTGTCTCTTCTACTGGAATAAAAGTTCCATAAAGGCAGAGATTGTTTATCCTGATCACAGCTAAAGCTAAAGCCCTAGCAGCAAGCACAGCGTCAGCTCAGAGAACGCATTCAATAAATATTTTTGAATTAATGAGAGATAAAATCATTTCTTCTATTTAAAAAATGGTAAATGTGGCTACTACACCATGTAAACGGACCAGGAGGGATGGGAGTTGCACAGTAGAGATTCACTCACTTCCAACAGCAGCACGGGTTTCCACGAAGTTAGAGCTCCCCTTCCTAACAGAGAGCAAGCTCCTGGGGGATGACTCGCTCTGCAAACGGGATATATCTACTAGGAGTATGTTTTAAAAAAAACAGATGGTAGAACCGAAACAGACACCAAGGGAAATGAATGAGGTTATACCAAGCATTGTTTATAAATCCAGATCATAATTCAAAGTATGTTACAAAAATGGAAGTGTTAAGAAATGTTATTCTTGTTGCTTTCCCGCAAACAAAATTCGTAGAAGAGCTGAGGGCCAGGGACTGCTCTAATTTTTGCATAGGAGGCTGGAATTTTGTCTTTTGAACCAGAATAAAAATCTCTTGATCAAAAAATCTTTTGAGAAAAGAGAAAGCACATCTTTTAAAAAAACTTATTTCATAGCAATTATTTTGTATATTTTGAATCACCTTTCTGTAATTTTTAAGCATATCAAATCTATTCATTTCTTTCCCTGTTAATAAGAAAAGTCACATTCACAGAATCAGTGCACGTCGAATAAAAAGTAAAGAGAGGAAGCAGAAGACCTAGAATCAGTAACATCTTCAAGGCCAAGTCTAGGCCCTTAAAAACACCAACGTTTGCTGATTTTCAAGTATTCTTCTCATACTTCATGTTTCAAATATGGCTAGTTCGGCAAAGCAGCTTTTCAGGACAACAGTAGGTGCAGCCCAACACAGGATCATCCAATAATACATGAACACGTCCACGATCCTGGTGTGGGGTCCATGGAGTTTTGTGCGTAAAATTAAGAAAACCCTTCCAACTTTGATGTTCCAGGCCAGGAGTGTGCATCTCCCTCCCCTGTAGCAACCCGGGACTCTTAAGGCTGGCTTTCATCAGGCAGGAGAGCAGCTCGTTCCCCGTCTGTGCCAAGGATGTTGTGAAGTTTAGATCTACATCGAAGGAAAGAGGAGGAGAAACTCAATATTTCTCATCTTTAGAAAAAAACTCAGTCCCCTCATCTCTACCCAACTATGTCTGTAAATGTGTCTACCAAGTGAGGAGGCTCAGAGTACCCAGAAATCTGCTGACGGGAAGAACAGATGGAAAATGGTGTTTCTTTTCCATTCCCACAAGCTGACTTTTAAAGGGTTTTAAAGCTCCCGAGCTGACCATACCTCCTCCTCCTGGAGTGCTCCAGTAGGTAAAACAAGCCCATCGCTAGGCCCTGTAACGCAATTAAAGGGACTGGTCAATCCCAGTTCTCCAAGTCAGGGTTCCCCATGAATATAAGGAAAATGAAAACAAAAGACTGGTGACTCACACTTGTCAGAGCCCACAGACCTTGCACAGCAGCTGCCCATTCAAAACCAATTTTCTCATACAGAAATCCGCCCAGCGTCGGTCCCACAAAAGCACTAACAATGAAAGGAAGAAAAGTACTAAATAGTGTGAAAAAAAGAGTCATGTCCTAAAGGCTGCATGATCCCTCAGTCACAGGTCTTCATTAAATTGGAACATAAGTACTAAAGAAAACAGCCGAGTCCTGGACAGAGCATTGGGTATCAGAAAATAATTCCACCTGATAACGATGATGTTTACGATTTTTAACCAATCCTAAAATTATAACCGCTTCTGAAAAGTTGGTGCCTCATATGAAAATAAAAAATGACACACATTCAAAAGACTCTTTATATTATTCTCTCTTCTCTTCTCAGTATTTGTATTGAAAATAACTCATACATATTTATTGATGATATCTACATGGCCAGCATACATTTCACTTCTCTGGTACAGTAGAGAGTAAAAACATGAATAAACAAATAAATACATTTTTGAAGCTGTGACATGCTCCTGTTAAAGGAACTTTAAAAGATCACTTAAATAAGACAAAGTATATGGGACCATTTTGATCAGGTATTAAAACTGCCTGACCTTGGGGTCAGAGGGTGTGGGTTAGGACTCCAGCTCTGCCCTCAATGAATTACGTGCCTTCAGGCAATCGATCTGACCTCTTGGTGCCTCAATTTCTTCATCTGTAAAATGGGGATAGTATTTTCCATCTTGCAGGTGTGAATGACATTCTATGGCTACTCACCCAACTGACCACATTGCACTAATGAGACCAGACACAAGTCCCAGTGTGCTTAATCCTTCTTCAAACCCATTTTCACTGCAAAGAGAGACAAGAGCATATCCGTGATTAAAAGGAGACCCACGTGAAAAAAAAGGAATAGGGTGTGCTAGATACACTCAGATCAGCCAGCGATAATCTGGACAAACCAACCCACAAGAACACTCCATTTCTAAGATAAAAAGCTAATGCAATTGGAAGGAATTCTCAGTTATGTTTACTCCACGGTTTTCCAAAAATAATTTGATTGTATATATAGGATACATTATTGAGAATCACGATCTATTTGCATTAAATGCTCATAAAAATATATAATTAATTAAGAAATTCTTAAAATGAGATGAACATGTAAAGAGAACAGTGGGCAACTTTTAGAAAATATGGAGGCAGCTCCTTGTTCCTCTGAGAATTGTTGAACTGACACAGCGTAGCCATCAATATTCTCCCTGCTCACGTGCCCTTCGTGTTCTTCATCATCGGGTGGATTAAACAAAGACTGATGGCCAAGTGACAAATGCCTGGTGTGATAGTGTGATTTATAATAAGAAATATAATTGGTTTTAGTTCCCATTTCTGGCAGAGCTCCTAAAACCTGTGGAATTTCCTAAGTGATGAAAGCAATAGAAAGCAGCGTTTGTTATGTTAATGAGGTGACTTTGGACCACCTCTCAGGATGGGGCTGGTAGCCAGGGGAACCAACCATGTGATTAGAGGGTTGGAACTTTCAGTCCCACTCACCCCAGCACCTCCAGGGAGGGGAGAGGGGCTGGAGGTTGAATCAATTGCCAATGGCCAATGACTTCATCAATCATGCCTATGTAATGAATCCTCCATAAAAACCCAAAAGGGCAGGGTTCAGAGAACTTCCAGGTTAGGGAAGCAGAATGCTTCCATGTGCTTCCCTATGCCACTGTGCCAGGCCCCAAACTCCACAGGGACAGAAGCTCCTTTCTTTGGGACCTTGCCCTATATATCTCTTCTTTAATATCCTTCGTAATAAACCAGTAATCAGTGAGTGAACTGGTTTCCTGAGTTCTGTGAGCTGCTCTAGCAAATTATCGAACCGAAGGAGGGGGTCGTGGGAACCTCTGATTTATAGCCCATTGTTCAGAAGCACAGGTAACAACCTGGGCTTGTGATTGGCATCTGAAGTGGAGGACAAAGTCTTGTGGGACTGAGCCCTCAACTGTGGGATATGATGCTATCTCTGGGTAAACAGTGTCAGAATTAAGTTGGATCACAGGACACCTGGCTGGTTTCAGAGAATTCCTTGGTGGTGTGGGGACACCCCATACATTGCTCTTGGTCCCGGGGTCAGGTCAGCCGGTCACTCTGTGTCCTTGTGTGGACCTTTCCCATGAGAGGCGAACAAAGCTGAGGGCTTTCCATTGTGCTCGGGCTTTTTAAAAGTATATCAG